AGTTGTTTTCAGCTCTCTTTAAAGTAGGTGATGATCTCAAGTGGCCAGAGTTGCCCTCTGGAGATATGTTTCTCCTCCAAGTACAGAAGGAGCCTATGGTGACCAGGCACCTCTCTGGAGTGTCTGAAGTGAGTGGGATGAGCTCAGAATGCAGCAGCAGCTCTCCAGGCTCTTCTTTAAACATCCCACAGATGTATGGGAAAAGTCTGGGCAGTGGTGCTTGCTGCCAAGCAAGAGGGATGCAAAAATTGTTTCCAGCAGTGGTATCCGTCCTGCCATAATTTTTCACCTTTTATCTTGGGAAGGCTCTTCCAATGTCACTTCTTTACAAGTGATATTTATATTATACAGAAGTTCCTGAAAGCCTCCAGATCAGTTGCACCAGGCATTGAACAGAGCTGTTAATTCTTTTCCATCGCAGATGGCTGCATATAATTCTGTATCTGAATTTGGATTAAGTATCTTCATCAAAAATGGCCTAAGCTTTACTATATCAAGAACCATGAAGGTTCAGAAAACTTAGCTCTAAGGATCTTTACAAAATCAGATCCCTTTTATTTACAGTTGTATATGCCAGGAACAGAAGCATATGCCACAGATATGACGTTGAAGTTAATGCACAATTAAGAGCACCCCTTGAGATCTAACATAGGACTGCCTGGCAACTAGGAGAAATGATGCAGAGACCAGGAGCACTCATGAAACTGGGGAGAGCTGTAATGACTTCCTTATGACCAATCTCCAAACTGCGCTGAGTGGAGCTCTGGCACAGGAGAGAGTCTGGCCCGTAGTATGTAAATAAATAACGATGAGCAAGTCGAAGTAAAGACAGAGAAGAATGAAGTGATTCACACAGCACAGCTATAGTTCTGTGTTGTCTCAAGGCTATGGAAGGCAACCCATCATACTTTGGTTCAGGTTCTCAAAATCATTTTTAGTGCCATGAAGGGTGACTTTTTTTGCTTTTAAATGAAAGCCCATATTCTGGAGCTGTTTTTTGGAGATAAATAGAGCCAAGAGGGATAGTACTTTTCAACAAAAGCATTAATAAGTGACTGTTACCACATGGATAAATGTAGCTTTGGATTGAAAGCAAAGTATAATTAAAGTAAAAGATCAATCTTTAATTTGATTAATAAATTTAAAAAAACAGTCTGCACGTCAGACTTTTTCTAAAATCTACATGGAAGCCTATTTTCTATCTAAGGGGATCAGGAATATATTTGCCAGCAGGACAAAACCAACATTTATTAAAGGGTAGGTTTTAAAGCAATTACAAATCAAAATTGGCAATTCATTCTCATGAATTGCATGAATGGCATGCCATATTCCAAAATGGAGTTCTTGGACTAATGGAGTTGAAGCATTTAAATTTTGCTTGCCATCAAATGGACAAACCATGTCCAGATACCTGCTGTAATCTCACCAGCATGAACGGGGGGGTGATGATCAAGAAATACGCTTCAAAATGCTATGAGCAGCCTAAAAAGATGGGTGTGGACAGATGGCAAACAGTTCAATTGGCAGATTCCTGGTATTCTTCAGTGTGGAAAGAGGGAATATATATGAGTCTAGGAAGATGGGTGGTAGGTTCCTCTGCATAGGAAAAAGTTAATTTAATTCTGTGTTACATCAGTAAAAAACTACTGAGAGAATGTCATGTCTTTTAGTTCTATCTGGAAGAGCATGAGGGAGGTATGATCATAGAATCATAGAAAGGCTTGGATTAGAAGAGACTTTAAAGATCATCTAGTTCTGATCCCCCTGCTATGGACAGGGATGTTGTCTGCTAGATCAGGTTGCTCAGGGCCTAATCCAAGCTGACCTTGAAGGGATGGGCCATCCACAGCTTCTCCAGACAACCTGCTCCAGTGCCTTACCACCTTCACATTCAAGAATTTCTTCCTAGCATTTAATGTTAAGGAAACATCTCTGTCTGACCATCCATGAGCCACTCTTGCAGTCACACCTGCACTACCTGCGCTAGGACAGGCCCCTTCACAGTCATCAGCTCCAGTGAGTTGACAATTGCCCTGCTTGACTCACTGCACTCCTCACATTCACACAGTCAGACCAAGTTTCCTTACCAGCTTCTCCCCCAGTTTCCCAGAGCAGAGTCTCAGACATCCAGATCCTTCAAATAGGTTAATCCCTTCTAGAGGGAGGACCTGCAAACTGTTTTGACCAGGGAAAGCTGCAGCTGGTCTGACAAGAAGAAGAAAGGATAGGTAAAACAGCTGTCATTGAGGCGTTGATGGATGGACTGGTAAATTCAGGGCAAAAGGGAACTGCCTCCTGACTTATCACATTGCCAAGCTCACCAGCACATCTTTTGTGTCTTTACAATCTCCTTCCCCAGGCTGGGTGGAAGGTAGAGAGTCTATATTTTCACCTGGTTCGTTTGAGGGTTTTTTGAGGAAGAATAAGAGAAATTAGGAAGAAACCTAAAAAGATTCCATGATCTGAGGAGTGAGGATGACTGAAAGACTGGACTGGGGAACGATGTCTGCTTACCAGAAATAATGAGAATAATTAAGCACTAATCTGACTTGTCTGTACAGATGGATTTCCAGCATAACGGAGTAGTGAAATAGCAAATTCCCCCAAGGGAAGCTCCTGAGCAGTGAAGCATAATTCATGCCTGAGAGTTAAATCTCAATATGGCTCTTTGCTGTGAAGTTACTGCACTGCTGAAAATATGCTTGCATACTGACACTGAAAGAAAAGCTGTGATGGCATTTATAAGATTGTAAGGTCAAAGTTAATTTTGTCAGATTTACTAATTGTTTTCAAACTGTGTCTTTTGTTTAAGCTTATTTAAAAGTAAACTCTGACATACTGTGATTTGGTTTTAAATACCTTTTGGGATCAGTCATTCTGAATTATAAATAGCTTCATCCTTCTTCCTTCTTATCAAACTTTGACATATGCAAGATAATAAGGGGGATTTTAGAAATATTGATGCAAACCAGCCACCTCTGAATCATGTCAAGTCAATAGTCCCTAAGAGTTAATGCTCGGATCATAGAGGAAATGTGTAGTAAGGAGTTGGGGAAGGGAGAGAAACTTCTATGGATTTTGAGCCCGAACTGATTCATTATTCACTTCATTTAAAATTGTTAAAGACAATTTTGTATGTATGCATCCATTTCCCATCTGTTTAGAGAGTTATATGGCGGTATGACTACAAGTGAGCACAGTTAAACAAAAACAGACATAGTGCATGCTGTAAGTGGATTGCTGTCAACACTAAGGCTAAACTAGGGGGACTAGGGGAAAGATGAGATTTCATACTGGCATTTGTCTACACTTGTAGTCCTGTGGGTATTTCTGAGTTCTGGTTTGTTCCTTGAGATAATAATGTTTTCATTCTCTAAATAAGGATTTGCTAGATTTGCTTTCCTGCAAGAAATCTTCCATGGACTGGATGAGGGCCACCATGTTCACTTACATTCTTGTCCTTAGTAATACTACACCAGATTAACAGAAAAGAGGTGGCACAAGAGGCAAGAGAAATCCAGACTCCCACTTGGGGTTTTCCATTGTGTTTTTTCTGAAATAGCTTGGTTCCAAGCCTTCAATCATTAGTATGCATCCAAATTTTGTATACGTGAGCATGATCATTCACTTCAGTGGGAATGCTCCCACTGGTAAAATAGTTCATATTAAGTATTGGAAGGACTGAACCCCGCGTGAAATGGTGGTGTTTCCCACAGCTTCTCTGTCCTCTGCATGTTTTCAGGTCATGTCTATCATTTTATTGCCACATCAAGCTTTTCCTTGGAGAAAGAGTGGTGCTAGGAGGCAGCACGTTTAATTTTGTCTATTGAAAAAAGACACGATATACCTGCAGAAATGTAGTCTGCAAGACATGTAAAATAATCCTCCTATCCTACCTTAGCCTGATAAAGTTTCAGCTGGAGTCCACAATTTTGGGCATCATAATACAAACGAAATAAAGAGAGAGTCTGGTGGTGAGAAAATCAAATAATCAGAAGCTTAGAAGACATCACTATGGATGCAGAGGATGTGGCATGAAAGGAATTTGCTTAATCTGGAGAAGACAGAGGGAAACATGACAACGAACTGCAAGTATGCAAAGGGATATCACAAAGATGAAACACTTTACTTGATTTCCATGTAGACATGACAAAAAGAGATGAAACACACTTGCAAAATGGGAGCCTGATAACTCTTAATATTTTAATAATTTTCTAGTTTCAGAAATAGGACAGCAGTGAGCTATTTTTGCGTGGAGAGGAAGGATGGAGATGGCAGAATCTTCATGGAAGGCCTTCAGGTAGACATCTCCAGCTATGAATAGTCAATCCTGTGTACTGGCAAGGGGATGGTTAGAAGACCTCAGGAGGTCCCATCCAGCCCTATCCTCTGTTAATGTAATCAATAAAATCCACATCTACATTCTAAGAGCAGGAGTCTTATTACTGGCAGTAGAGAAAATGCAGAAAGGACAAAACCATTGTTTTCAGACCTCAAACGGAGCTTGTAAAGCATCAATAATGTTCTCTTTTGACCAGTGAAAGATAAAGAAACAACTTGAAAAGAATAAGCACAAAACTGTAATATGACCTCTCAGGAAAAGATTTTCTTCCTACTCCAGCATCCCTTGATCATTTTTCCTCCTGGTCTTTGGATTTTATTTTAAGGTGGAAAAATGGAAATGACACCCCTATAATGACATTAGGGCAACATACTTAAAACTCTTTTTTGCCAAAATTATTTAAAAACCATTATATGTTTATAATTATTTAATTTATAGTCTTTGCTATGTCCAAAAGACAGGTAGCAGACCTGGGAACAAGCAATACCCACTGTCAAGCTACACTGATTTGACAGGAACAAAACCTTGCAATTTATAGTGGAGCTCTTTTCAAAGCGAGTGGAAATGGGATCTAATGATATTCAAGTAATCTACTCAGGTTGCTAAGGCTGAGTGGAAGATACTTCTGATGGAAATCTGAGACTGTGTGTGTAATTAAAAATACAGAAATGAAAATATAATCTTCTTTTGTTATCACATGAATCAGCAGCTGCATGTTGCTTAGGGAGGAAGAAGGCTGCAAAAAACTAGGGAGAGAAACTAATGCAGAAGACCATAAAGAAATGGAGCTGTCTTGCTGTCTTGCTCCTAAAAAAAAAAAAAAAAAAGGAAAAAAAGTTCAGCATGGATCCATATGGTGTGAGATTTCTCTTCTGTGACATTTTTATTAAGGTTATGTATATGACCGTTCATCTTCATTCTGCTGGTGCTAATTGCTGTCTATTGGACCCTTCGCTACTGTGTACAGAGAACACATGCTTCCCCTCGACACTGCCATCACTGCGAGTGCACTGGATTGTTCTGCTGTCCTCAGATAGGAACCTGCTGCTGCTGCCTGACCGCAACAGCTGGGAATATTCTGCTTTTAAAAGCTTATCTTGTTGATACTTGAGTTGAGCTATTACACAGTGGAACAAGCAAACAGAATGAATGGACTCTCTGCGGGCAACTTATGGTAACAAAAAAAGTTTACATGTGCTTTTGAATGTGTCTCTTGTCTTGGAATTGACAGTGATGTTTAGCATAGATGTTTCCTGCAACAAAATCATGATGGTATAGAGCCAGGAACAGGCTAAAACAAAACATGCTCAGAAGACATGTTCAGCACTTATGCTCCTTTGAAACTGTAAGCAACAATCCTGCAAAGATTTACTCATGTGAATGGTCCCGCTGAAATGCAAGGGAATGCTTTTTTCTCTAGAATGGCTAATTTGATTAAGAATTACTTTTATGCACAAAATTAGTGTGTAAAGCATGTTCCCTCCACCTTCTATGGAGCTTTTAAGCAATCAGCCCAAGAATCAGGTTATTTATTTACCAGCATTAGGTCCATGAACACACATATATATTGCATTTACAAGCAGATCAGAGCAGAGAAACACAAATATTCCCATGTTATGGTTGGACCACCCAGGGAAATACAGAAATCTATTAATTTTGCTTATCACTTAGACTCCAATTTAACAAAACATCTAATGGTGTCATGAATTTTTCTGTCATGAAGGAAGTGTTACAATCATCTAATCTGACTTCCTACATAATGTAGACTAATGTATGACTTCCCCAAGCAATTCTGACTTATACATCCATACATGTGATTTCAAACTGTAAAAGTTAGCAGTGGTAATAAGAATAGTTATCAGACTTAGGTTCATGCAATTAGTGATTCTTAAACTGTTACCTTAACACATTGCCTTTTGTGAATGGTGCTGCACTTAGCCATGCCCTGAACTACACACCAGTCTGCCTACAGACTCCACATGACCTCTAGGCAGGAAAATCTCTCTTCTGAAGTCTTAATGGAGGTGTTGTCTGAGCAAGCACAGACCCTGAGTGACATGTGCATTATTCTGTGCATGGACGAACATCTGAAAATTTGGCTTTCAGACCACACTGGGCAATCTGTGAGAGTTGAACTTGACACCTAACAGCCAGATGTACTGGTAACTTTGGTCTCACAGTGGTGGTGATTCTTGCTGTAGGACCACTGTTTTAACCCATTAACATCAGTTAAGTGGCCAGTTGTAACTGACACAGGCAATTGCTGGATACATGGCCTTTCCCTGCTTTCTTGGTGGCAATTTAGGCTAAAGGAAAAGCTATTTTCTTTCTCTTCCCAACCACTTCTGCCTTGTTCCATTTTCTCATTTGTGCTTATGCAACTGTTTATATGAAAAAATGAATTAAACTTAAAAGTAAATCCATGTATTTTCCCATGCTATTAAAAAGGTGAGAAATTTCCTTCAAGACATATTGATATATTAAAAGATAATTTGGAGTCAATACAAAATGAATTCTTATTTTCTGCTTTTATCACTGTAATGAAAAATTGAAAATTATTTGCATCTAAAAAAAATAATAATTTGAATACATGTACAGACTACTTTCACTCCCTGGCACCATGTAATGACTTTGCAAGTATATTTAGTTCATATTTGAAATGAAACTGTTTCCAAAGGAAGTGATGAGAACACTTGAAAACTGAACATCTTAATTATCCTGCTATTTCTTTCCTTAGCAAAAAAAAAAAAAAAACAAAACCTCTAATTCAATGAAAAAATATTAATTTTTACACATTTTCTGAAAATAACCCATTTGCATCATTCATATTATTATTACTACTATTATTTGTCCAGGCCTCATTAAGAATAAGTAGCACCTATTGTTATTGCTAGCCAGCAATAACAAATACACACACACACATATATATGTGTATATATATGTATATATAAGCATGCATGTATGTATATATATGCATGTATGTGTATATATATGTATGTATATAAATCTATAGTTAGGCTAGAGATGGCGTAACAGGTTATTCTGAGGAGGAGTTCTCAACTACTGGCCAGAGACAAATTTTTGAAGGATACCAAGGTTACTAACAACTCCAAACATCATTACCAAAACAAAGCCAGAGAGAAACAACAACAACAACAAAAACAAACAAACAAACAAACAAAACCACCAAAACCCCAGCAACAACAACAACAACAACAAAACCAACTAGAAAAATAACATAAATTCGTAACATTTTAACTGAGATATAAACCTGCCTGTGGTGAATAGACTACCTTGTGACTTTTTTAGCTGTACTCTAGGTCCTGGCCAAATTCTTGTGGCACATTTTGATTTTGGGGGCTGTGATGCTGCCTGGGTAGGTCTAGATGCAGTATCCCAGACTTTTTTTACAAAACCAGTGGTTTTGTGTGNGCCCCAGAGTTGGCTACATTTTAGATGATCAGGTTGTGTTCACATTTTTATTTATTTGGACAAAATTGGATATTACTGTTCATTATCTTTAAATTTTTGTGGCTACAAATATACCTAAAAGTTAATCTTGAGTAACATTTTGCTGTTCTTTTCTTCGTCTTCTCCTTTTCTTTCTTGTCTCTAGCATAATTGTCTTTGCCCTCGTGTGAATACTTCTTGCCCCACAGGCTTCTGGCATGACAAATCAAATTACCACCTTTCTTTGTTCCCACGTGCAAGAAAACAAAGTTGTTGTCCTTACTTGGAGAAGAGAGAATACCAAACAACACATTTGGATAAGCACCTTGTCAGCTTTGAAATGTCTTGTAGAATTCTGTTAATGTTTCTCTGCCATGCATGAGGCTTGCATCAAGTGTCTTTTTCAACAGCATCACTGTAGACAACCATTTATCAGGTGTATATTGTATGGCAGTGTGGTGTTTGGAAATTCCATTTGCCATATGTTATTCATGATCCTTGCTCACAGCCTTCATTTGTCAGGGGATTTAGAACTCAGCTGTGTTTAGTTTTTGGGGCTTGAGAACAAGTTGACCCACAGGCAGACACCTAATGATATAATTTGTTCAGTGCAAAAGGTTTGACTGCCCTCTATCAACCTTTATGCAGACAACTCCTTTGAATACAGTAATGGATGACAATATCAAAAGCATAAATCTCGGCAAACTTCAAGGTTTCCTGGAAAACATGACTCTTAAACTTTAGGCACATAGACATTTGGCACAATGTCAGAAACATTCTGGACTATTCATTTATCCAACTCTGGCCAAAAATAACCAAAGACTCTATGTGTCTGTTGACTTGTTTTGAAATACATTCAAAACGGCAAAGAAGTTAAAAAGTAAGAGACCAGCAATTGAGAAACAAGACTTCTGAAGTATGAAAGATCCTTTTCTGTATCTTACAACATGTGGTGCTAACAAGCCAGGTCATGTCCCTCTTAAAAAATTTTGTCTGTGAACTTAGTGTGGTTAACTTAGTGAGTAGAAATTACATAGTTTAGGTTCCTTATGGTTTTAGAAGGTAATAAATAGAGACCTTGCTGGAGGACCTGCTTCAGAGGAGAAAAACATGGTGACAACTGTGGGCTCATGCCTGTGAGTAGGACAGAGCAGCCAGGATAATGGTCTTCTTCTCAAGCCTGGCTGACTTCCAGAGTCACAGTTTCACTTTTTTTAAAATCTGTCCTACTCTTAACTTTATGCCTCCTGTGTGATGTTCCCTGGCTTTTTATTCTTCCTCTTCTACATATACACCTTCTACTTTCCCCTGCTCTACCTCTACTAGCCAGAGGAAGAGAAACCCATCTTCTTCTTCTCTACTCAGCCTCCCTTTGTCTTTCTCCTTGGCATGCATCCTCCTCTCCTAAGCAGAGCGGGTGGTCAGGGAACACTGCAATGTTACACTTTCTCATTCTATTTTGTCTTGTCATCCAGGCCTCTTGCTGCCCTCCCTGGGAAGATCTATTGCTGTGCCAATGGACATCTTCAGTTCCCGAATGGAAATGTGGCCTTGATTGCACATGATGTCACTGTTAGGACTTCAACCTTTCCATCACTATTAGGTTTCATTTTAAATTATAAGCAAATAGGAGAAAAATAAGCTTTATTTCTTTTTTATTTTTTTTAATTATTGTCAAGACAGTCTCCTTACGCAACTTTAGTAGCACCACAGATATGTGAAGTTGGCTGCACTGTTCCTCACCTTTCCTGCTACATATCCAGCTCTGCTTTTAACAGCTTGAGGTTTTCTTCATTAAATCCTTTTTCACCCCCACTCTTGCCAGAATGCAATATCCCAACGGGAGTGATCAGAAAAGAAGGGTAATTATTATAACTTATGAAAAAGCCATTTGCTTTGTTACTGCTTCGTGCTATTCCTCTTGTTATTGAGCAGATGAAGAGTTACAGTAATTTGCATTTTGATTTTTATCTACGCAATCTCTACTGAAGAAAAAAGCCCTTATTTCTGTTTGGAGCCCTTGGCTGCACTGTGTAATCCCTGTAATAGTGCCAATAGCAGTAATGATATGACAAAACATAAAACAGTTTTCCAAAAAACACAGTGCACAGGCTGCACAAGTCATTGCAAGGGATTTGTGACAAAGTGGCTGGCAAAAGGAATGGTATGTTCTGGGTTTCACCTCCTTCTACAGATGCACATTTGAAGGTGCAACAAGGTTTCTCTCCAAAAGCCAAGCTGCCTCTGAAGGAGGCAGGAAGAGAAACTACACTCTGCTCTTGGAAAGAAAATATTCTGTAGGCTGCAAACACTGGAGTATGGCTTTTAGGTACTTTAAGGGAAATTGCACTTTTTTTAGTGTAACTGTTCTATGTACATGAAACAAAGGTGTCCAAGGAAGGCCAAGAATAGGTAGTGGAAAAGAAGTAAAGACAGGAGCAGACTGGGAGATATGGAGGGAAAAGGTAAAGCAGACAGCAGGCTTTTAATTTCATATCATAGGGCAGTAACTCCTGGCCTGTATATAGCTTGAAGACTCCTGTGTCCATCTCAAAGATAGACCTACAGTAATGTTGAAGACAACCTTTTGTGTTTGAGAGCTTTTCTGTTTTCTCCAGCTATAGAAGCTCCTTTTCTAACAATCTGACAAGAAATACTTATTACTACTCCAAATAAAAGGTGATTAAAAATGAGCAACAAAGATTATTTCAATATTCATGTAGTGGGAATACACATGTATCAGAGATGTCTACTGTTACTTATCCCCGTCAGGTGCTTACTGCAGCTACTACAGCTGTGTTAGCGTGAATACATGAACATAGCCAGGCTTACAAAGGAGTGTGACATCTTCACTAAAGGAATGGTCTGGTACACTGGGCCCAGAAGAAGCAGCATCCTGCTGCCAAAGAAGAATATCTGCCTTGCTCTGTGGTCCTATCGGGTAATTCACTCTTCTACTAAAAAGTCAGATTTTGAGGTGGAAAGATAATGAGAAGTATCATTGCTGTATTTTAACATTTGGAAATGGGAGATGTAGAGCTCCAGAAGCTGGCTCATCTGAAACTGCTGAACATGTGTGTAGTTTGGCTCTGCTCAGAGCACAAGTTATCCCAATCTTCTTCTGTGAATTATTTGGCAGGCCTTCTTCCCCTGCCCCTACAAAACTGACAATTTTCAATAGTTAATCTCAGCTCTGAAAATTCCATCCTGATTCTGCATATAGACTTGATATAAATCAACTAGTTTCCTCCAGTGAACCTATGCTGGTTTCTGCCAGCTCAGCATCCAGCTCCGAGTATTTCCTCATACACATTGTTCCTTATACGCATTATTCCTTCTCGTTTAATCAGTCCTTGCTTCCCTCTCTAACCTAGCAGAGTGGCAAATTTTAGTAGGCATGTCCTAATTTCCTTATTGCAAGTGAAGCTCTTTCTTTTCCTTTCAGATTCCCTGCACAGTCTGGCAGGACTTCCCTTCTCTTATTCATCCCTATTTCATCCTGAGAGCACCACTAAGGCACAGTATTGACAGGCATTTTCATATGC